GCACGTTCTGTAAAAAGCAATTCACAATTGCATTCGCAAGTAGAGTCACCTTAGAGCTTGCACTCTGCACGTGTGATGCACATACATGTATGCTGTTCATACAAGTATGTATTTGCTATGGATAAAATTTTATTGACAACTGTGTGTGTGCCCAATGCATTTCTATTGCTGCAATGCAACATCTGTTGAGACGATCCATAACTTACCACACTATGTAGTCACCTTTTTTCTGCTTGTTCAGTCTTTACAAAAATATTGGAGCTACGTAACTAACTGCCATTCTTCTTCTGAAATTATTTTGCCACAAGTCCCAGGGCTTTTTGCTCCTCCATGCATTGTTTTTCTTTGATTTCTATTATATATATATATGATATATATATATATATATATATATATATGTGTTACCCTCAAGAGTGTTCAAAGGGAACACCTTTAGTTGTCATGAAAGAAATGTGGTAGGTAGGTAACCCAAACAGTCTACTTGTCTCCCGTTGCTCGTATAATAGCCAAGCTACATGAAAGGTGTTCCTTATCAGGTTGTGTCTTGCCTGCCCTAGTGTTGTCTTGTCTTTTTTGGGTGTGTAGTATGGAAGTGCACAGATACCTTTCTACATCACTCATCGCCACCATTGTGAAAATTTAGTCGGGGGGGCCTATACGATCATTCTACTCCTAACAGAAGAATGCATAGAGGAGACCAAAATAATCAACCAGGGACCCATGAATCTAAGGAGAAAGTGTTGTATCTGTTGCTTTGAGATATGACTTGCATAGACGCCGGAGTCTGGAAAACGTTGACAAATCAGCTTCTTCAAAACCCTGACTGAACTGCTGGCAGTTCTCCTGGAAAATTAACCCACATTAGAAATCAATAAGGAATCGTGGGTGCTTAATTAAAAACTACCAAACTGAAGGGATGTTTATTCTGAAAATGACATTGATTTCAAAGTACATAAGAAGATGTCTTCCTGAAAAATCAGGTTGAGAAACTAAAAAGATGACTCAGTCAGTCAAATGCTTGTTGCACATACATAGGGGGCAGAGTTCAGATCCCTGGTACAAATGGTTGCTGCCCATGCCCTCTTTTATTCCTTGTCCTGGGGAGGGGAAGACAGGAGGGTGTGGGAAGCTTGCTGACCAGCCAGTCTCGCTGAATAGGTGAGCTCCAGGTTCTGGGAGAAACCCTGACTCCAAACTAAGATGGAGAAGGATAGAGGCAAGTACCTGATGTTGATCTCAGTTCTGACTCACATGTATACAAACATATACATGAATAAATAGGTAAGTAAAAAAAATCATGCTTATGCTCCCCATGAATTGAAATCAGAAGTGTGTGTGTGTGACTTATGTAAGAAAATAGGAAAATGTAAATCAATCTCTTAGATCTGACATAATATTTGGACACAATGTAGAATTTTAGCTGAGATCTTCATATTACTCTTTTTTTCTTTACTGGATAGAAAAAGAAAACAACTTTCAGAGGGTCATAGTGTCTTTAAATGCAAACATCTTTGAATTATTTTTAAAAATGCATTTCCTTCGCATTATAAATTAAATTGAATATGTATTAGAATATTAGACTAACACCCCATTTTTGCCAACTTGTGTTTATCCATGAGATACAGAGAGTGAAATTGGTAATGTTTTCTCAATTCAGAATTCATTTTCATTTTGTCTTTTATGCACTCTAGCCAGATGAGTGGGCAGCTATTTTGAAGGTTGACAATCTGCTCCAAGTTTTGGAAAACAGACAAATCCCCCAAGAAAAAACAAAAAGATTTGCCATCCTAGTTCAGAGTATGGAGAATATGTGGGGTTTAGTAATAAAACAACGCTTGAGGGGGAAAAATCCTGGCACTGCTCTTTATTGACATTGTAATCTTGGGGAAGTTGTTGCTGTTGACTTCCTTGATCTCTCCACTTTTAGGACAGGGTAGTGGACACCTCCCCAGCTGTGCTGGTGATTAATGAACACAAAGCATATTGGGCACTTAGCTTTGTGCCTGACAAATTTCGTGAGCTCTTAATCAGTAGTGTGCACCATGACCTGTCTCCTCCACTGCTCATGCTTGTTTCCTTATTGTTTCAACTTTTATTTTTCTTTTCAGAAACAACTGACAGACTATCTTGACTTCTGATGGTTGTGGAGTCTGGGGTACCGCAAACATATCTGGTTTCAGGGTCCCAGGAGTTAGTTGTTCAGCAGTATTGGATGAACAGGAGCATCGTGGGCGTTACTGAATGGAAGAACTGTTAGGTGAAATGCTCCATCAATCCCAGACACCCACCACAAAGCCATGTGCCATCACTGGAATCTGTTGACCTAGTTACGCCATCTCTAATTCTATTCCTGATAGCCTATAATTAGGATGGTCTGAAATAGCCTGAAAACAGTCAGTGCCAGCATTTATCCCAAAAGGCAAGTCGCAAATCCTTCAATAAGGCCTTTTCTGAAATTCGCTTTTAAATCAACAGATTTGACAATATTTCAACATGGAGAGAGATAGGAAAGGGAACAAAAGAGATAAGGTCGCTAGAGAGAAGTCAGAACAGATGAGGAGACAGGGAGGGAGGCAAGGGAAGAGAAGGGAGGAGAGGAAAGAGAGGAGAGGGAGACAGAGAGGGAAATTATTTCTCATTTTTGTTTGTTTCATCAAAACCTAGAGCCAGCTCTTGCCCAAATTCATCAGCAGGTTTCTCAGATCTGTGCAGAAAGGTTGGGAAAGTTGGCCCAAATAAAACAACCCCAATGAATAAATAAATAAACAAACAAATAAATAAATAAATAAATAAATAAGCTATCAACACAGTCTCAGCTTTTGTGTCTGGGTCTAGTATGGACACAGAATCACTTTGGAAAGAACTAAGCATGAATATAACAGTATTGTCAACCCCAAATGTCCCCCTACCCTCTCCTCCCACCCCTCCCACCCCCCACACACAAGCAGAGCTTCAGAAATGCAACACCTATCAAATATTTCCTCAGAAATGCCAGATTGCTGGGATTTTAAAGAGTTCTAATTTTTTTCTTCCCTTTTTGACATTTAGACAGATTGAGTTTGAGAGAGGAAGTGACTCTGAGTCCAGACTGGCCCGCACCACTGTCAGAGGAAATAACGGAAGCAAAATGAAGTGATAATATACTGTAGAATATTTAGCAGAGGGAGTGAAGCGGGGGAAATGGCAACCTGAGAATAGACAACTGCTCCCCCAAATAAACACATTCTCCTGTGTTCCAGCAGATGCCAGCTACAGTAGATCATGAAATGGTAGAAACGCCTTGCTCTGTGGGCTGCGTGTTGACATGGGAGCACTTAGACCCCAATAGTCAGGGGAGCCAGCTCTTTCTCCCCTGTTTCTGCTATCATTTGTCACAGAGCCTGCCAACTTCCCTCTCTGCCCCTTTCTGTGTATTCACCAGAGAGAGCTAGCAAGTGACCACCTTAATGACTGCAGCGTGTTGTGGTGTGAGGCCTGACAGATACAGTACAACCCTAGGCCCTGATGTCACAGCGTGAGTGAAATAGGAACGTCCAAGGGAGGATATTAACAAGGCTCTTTCCATCTTGGAGAAGACTCAAGGTGACTAGGGACATGGAGATTTCCTGCCCAAAGAAAGATTTGATAAATCGGGTGGTGAAGGAAAAACACAACCCCCTTCTGTGAGTTTAATGAGAAATCTACTGCCTCCTGGGGGATGGAGGAAGAGTGCAGACTCGGTGTCTTAGCATCACGCAAAAGTTAAAACTTTGGCAAACAAGCTTTCTTCATCTGCTGAGAACTCAGAGACAGGAGTGTCGCTTGGAAAAGGGAATTGTTTTAAAGAATCCCGCCACCTCTTATTCATGAATGAGTGGAACTGGCATCGAGGAAGGCCAGGCTGTCCTTTCCTCCATGAGGTGATTGAAAGCCCTCTGTTTCCTTTGCTGGCAAATTTCCTCTTCATCTTTGGGCCAAGGCTTCCCCATGGGTGACTCTGGTACCCACCGTACATTAGATTGTCACCAAGACTGAGGCTAGGGGACATTCCTTCCTAGCTTTCTATCTTCCTCATTTCTCTCGTTCTTTTCTCATTCTTTCTTCCTTCTATCCTTTTTTTGTCTTCATTTCATCACAGAAAAGGCAAAAAATCCGGTTCCAGAGGTTTAAGAGGAGAAATTACTTGGGAAACATAGCAAGGGACAGCCAACAGAATTCAGGGACAAGGTTTCCCTAGGACCACTATCCTCTTAAGAGCACATAGACATTCCGTGGAAAGTTTTTCATTGAAAAAAATATGATTCCTAGATGCAGAAAACGAAGTGACTTTAAACGCTGGGTCAGGTTTCTCCAGCTGTGTGGATGTCATCAAGGAAACGGCGACCATAATTTTCAGTAATGGGATACTGAGATGTGGGGACAGAGTGGACTTGGAAGAATGGTCCACTTAAAGTTTCTCTTAAATATTTTCACTTCTGAAGACACGTTTGTTTTATCATTTTGTGATTAAAAAAAAATGACAGGGGTGTGCCGGCTGGAGAGAAGAACTCAGCTACTATGGGCCCTTGCTGATCTTGTAGAGGATCCTGGTTCCATCTCCCAATACCCACGTGAGAACTCATAACTACTTATAACTTCCTCCTCAGGGGATCCCCCCCATCCCATTGACTGTGGTGGTCCTGCACTCATGTGTGAATAAACACTCACTCAGGCAAACACATACTCATATCAAGTAAATCTAAAAATCTTTTCTGATGTTGAAGAAGAGGCTTGGTGGTTAAGAGCACTTGTTGCTCCTATAACATCCCCATGTTTGGTGCCCAGGACCCCGGTCAGGTAGCTCACAACCACCTGTAATTCCAGCTCTAGGGCAGCCATTGCCCTCTTCTGAATTTCCAGGTTATAGACACACACACACACACACACACACACACACACACACACACACACGACATTCACACATGTGTATACGTACACACATATAAAAAAATGAAAAAAATCTTTAAAAATATCAAGCAGAATTGCTTCGGCAGCACATAATATTGAAAGTGCAACAATACAGAAAAGATTGCCATGGTCCTTGTACAAGGATGATATGCAAATTTGTGAAGTGTTCCATATTTTAAAATAAAACAAAAATAACAAGCTTCAATAAATTTTGCCTCCAAAAACAAAAAGGTTACAAACAGCTTATCACATTATTTCTTAAATTGATGCTAGTTACATATTATTTAATGAGTTACATTTTCTTTTATAAACACAAGGATTTAAAAATATTGATGAAAATTATTTAGCATATCCACTTAAACTTTAATATAAAATATTTATGATTTAATATATTTAAAATCAAATATATTATTTGAATTATTTTTCATTGATGGGCATATTAATAAGCTTAAATGAACTTTTAGTATGAAACAGCCACTTTATTAGAAGTTAAGCTTACTCTTTTAGAGTTAGGAAAAACATTGGAAATTTTAAGACTCATTGATCATTTAATCAAACTACGTTTAACACATTAGTTTATATTTTCTTCTCCTATTTTGCCTTGTAAATTATTCATTTTAAATGTTTTATTTTTAATTATAGTGCTTGCACAATTTATGAATGATAATTATAGATCTCCATTATTTAATATCTATAAGGTACCTATGCTTTCTATATTTAATTTAAATTTAACCAACAAATTGTGGATTAGGAAATTTACATTCAAACATTCTAAAAATGGGACAATCCTAAGTGCCAGCCAAAGCTGAACTTGAACTCAAGTTTGTGTCTCTTTTATTCTGTCCTTGCAACATGATAATATTTAGCCTTAAATTATGATATATATGGCATTACACCTTCAAACATTTTCTACTATAAGTAGATAAAAATATTCCAAAGACAGATTTCAACACAAAAGAGAACTAACATGGAAAACTGCAAAATTTTAAACTAAAAATCCAAGCTAATTTTTTTTTTTTTGCTAATGGAAATAATTCTGATTTGTGCCAGGGAATGCCCAGTGGTGAAAACAGACACTATTTGCTTTGAGAGCCTTCGATTTTTTTATTAGTTCTCCATCTTACATATTGTTATGATTTTCATTTTGATGAGGTTGTAAGATCTTGTCTTGGTATTCCCTTGTGCTCTGTTCTTGGACATTAATTATATGAAAATAGAACAATTTTCCCATACAAAGCAAAGGGATGGGACAAGAGAGGCTGACTGACAGTCTCAATTACTCTACTTCTGCATGATACATGGGGCACTATTTTGAACCTGTAGCAATTTTCTGCCATGAGGAGTATCAAAGGCATACTCCATGGATGAGAGAAAGGATAGCAGTTCCTGCGATTACACTGGCATTTGCCCATCTGCTTCACAAGGCAGTGTTTAACCTGCCGGGAATCACAGGGAAATAGTTTGATGATGCGTGTCAAGCTTTTAATTTTTTTCCTGGGTGGGGATGGGAGTGGTTCATGATGAAGAAGATACGTCTCCTCTACTACCTCCGTTGAATCACAGGGACAGCCAGTACAATTTTGAGCATCTTCTCACAAAACAAATGGGGAGATGGTGTCATTCAATGAAATGAATAACTACAAGTGAATTAAAATACAGACTCCAAACTCTCTCATGGAGTGACACCAGATGAAATTTATTGTATGTCACTCTAAGTGTTCATACATTCACTTGAACATCAATGAATGATTCACCATTAATGTAAATAGAGTCATTTGGAAATTTTACTTATGTGCTATTTTATAGTTTGTTTACATACCGTCTCATGTTTTATTCATAATTTTGTGCCTTCTGAACTTGTGGATTTCTCTTGGTTAGAGTAAAAGACAATGTAGATTGGAAAGAGGTGGATGATCTTGTCATTAGATGCTCCTTTCTTATGTTGTTTAACTAAGGTGGCATGGCATTTATGTAGAAATCTTCCAGGTTGCTAAGGCCATGCCAATGGCTTCATAATGTAAGTCAGTAATTACTGTTATGGAGAAGTTTTATGTTTAAATGTTCCTTTCTTTTATTATTGAAGTATTTCTTTTGACACAGCCTCAAGTTTTGTTTGTTTCACTGACAAATAGATAAGGAAAAATATGAAAAATGTGTCTTCCCAGAAAGAGCAAAACTTATGCACAAATCTATGTGCAGCCATGTAGTATGTGCAATACCTAGCTTCCCATTAGTTCCTTGTGGGGACTTGACTATCCCAGAACCTAGGAAACTAGGGAATTTAGAGACAATGAATTCTGTCATTTTCCAACAGTTTTAGTAAATCCAAAAATCAACACATGTTATGCAGATATTTTATAAATTATTAATATTAATTTACTCATACATATAGCAAAGGTTTTTTTTTTTTTGGAGTGGCTAACAATGTGTGAAGAACTGTTCTAGGTTCTTATGGATGCTTAGGTGAATAAAAATAAAACACTATGTAAGAAAACAAAACCTTCCCCACTCTCAAACAATTCACATATTAGTGGGACAAATAAGAAATCAACAGGAAGAACTCATATCAAAATAGACAGAAATAAATGCTGCAGGCAAAACCGGGAAGGGGCAAAAGTACACTAAGAAGAGGGTGTTGAAGCTGGGCGGTGGTGCCGCATGCCTTTAATCCCAGCTCTCGGGAGGCAGAGGCAGGCGGATCTCTGTGAGTTCGAGGCTGGGCTGGACCGACAGCCTTGAAAACAATACAGAGAAACCCTGTCTCATAAAAAAAAAAAAAAAGGAGAGGGTGTTGAAATTTTAGATACAGTGCCATTAAAACTCTTGAAGAAGAATGCGAGTAAATGAGTGCTCTATCCACAGGAAAATTATCACAGACATGGATTGTCTGGTACAGTCGCCGTTAACCCCACTCTGCAATATAGATAGCTATGGAATACTGTAGAGAGAAGCCTTTTCCTTGCCAGCCGGCTTTGGTTTTTCCCCACCAGTCACCTGGGCTCTACCACGCTGTAGTCCCCAAATAACATACAAGACGCTGTATTAATTATGAAGCTGTTGACCTTGCTTGTTTCTTACTGGCTAGCTCTGACTTAAGTATTTATCCCATAATTGTTAATCTAAGTATTTCTCTTACCAGAGAAAAGTTCCAGATATCTTACTTCTCTGGCGGGCTACATCGTGACTCCCTGTGTTTCTCCTACCCAGAGTCCTCCTGGACTCCTAGTCCCACCTATCTTGCCAACAGTGCTTTATTGACATATACACAGGACTTCCCCATCAGAATACCACCATCACACAGAAAGTAAGTGATGCTGCTTCCAAAGGAAAGATAAGACAAACTTAAAGTCATCGAAGAGGGGAGCAGGTGAAGCAGTTGTGTAGAGTGTGGCTGTTCTTTGTGTAGGGGATGTATGGATTAGGCTGACCACAAGGGTCAGAGTACTAAGAATCATGATGGGATTTTAAGACACCTCTTGAGAGAGATGGAAAAGCTTTGGAATGTGTTGAGTAGAAGGGTGCTCTAATCTGATTTGCACTGTGTCAAGGTCACTCTGACTGCTCTTTTGAGAACTCAGTAAAAGAGCCAAGAGCATGAGCCCAGATACAGCTGCAATCATCCAGGACCAGGGAACAACTGTTGGGAGGAGTGGGTATCCGTGGGTATCCAAGTGAGAAGTAGTAGATCAAGTTCTAGATGCTGCAGCAAGAAAAAGGCATAAAAACTACCTAGAGATCCTTTCACACCACAGAGTCTGGAAAAACATGACAAGACGTTGGGGTATGGTTGACTGAACAATATATATATGTGTGTGTGTGTGTGTGTGTGCGCGTGCACACATTCATGAGAGAGTGTGTCAATATTTGCTTCTCCTCCCTAAATCAGTTCTGATGCTAGGGCTCAATCTTGTCCTCCAGCCTAGATTAACTCTGCATTCCCTAACAGCTAAGTTAACATTTTGGTGGTGCGCCCGTATTGATTATGCAATCGGTAATCACTGAGTGACAGTGACAGAGCAATCCCGTCATCCCTTAGGAAAATAAACACCACTCACTGATTCTTCCATACCATCGCAAAGGATGAGGGACTTGAGAGGGGTTTTACTGGTGGGTAGCTCTACCTGGGGAAGTGTATGAGTGCCATAGAATTTAGGTAAAAGGTACATAATAGACATGTAGGACACATGAAATGCCATTTCTGCTGCTTTACCGACAGCATTTCACTTGCCATTCAGCAATCAGATTGTGGATCCACAATTGTTACCAAAGCTAATGCTTCAAATTTCCGTAGCCAACAGAGTGGGGATCTTTCCATGAAGAGTGCTACCTGTAACTCTTATGAGATGACTTTTGTGCTCAGTGTCAGCAAACACTGATCAGACAAGAGCACCGGCTGCTCTTCCCAAAGACCCAGACTCCCAGCACTGACATAGCTGCTCACAACCAACTGTAAGAGTCGCAAACATTGACACCCTCTTCCAGTCCTCTCAAGGGCAGGCCTGCAGGTGATACACAGACATATACAAGCAGACAAAAGACCCACACAGAAATTTTTAAAATTTTAAGTGAACCAATAGAAACATTTATAGTTTTAAGATTAGGCAAATGCATTTTACCCTGCCATGTTTCAAATAAGTCCAGCTAAGAATTTCCTTCATTTTTTTTTTTATGATTCTCAGTTTCTCTTCACGGCTAAAGAGAGTAGTAATTGGAACTAGACTTCAAGGGAATATGCACTTAGAGCAAACAAAGGCCAGGTCGATCTGTGTGCTGTTGTGACTGCATTATTGCATAACTATGAAGAAAAAGCATTGGATTTTCACATAAATCAAGTAGCCAATGAAATGGGAAAGTAAACCTTATCTTTTCTGTAGGCTTATCTGTAGATAGGTAAAGGAAAACACGAAAATGCTCACGTTTTGTCATTTGATAACAAGGTTCTAAAACCTGATGAGACATGACTTATTCTGTTGTTTTAAACACATCTGTAAATAGAACATACAGCATTTGCATTCATTTTAGTCCCAATCACTTAACGTGAATTAGTTGATAAGATCTCTTCCCTCTTGGCAGAAAATACTAAGGAAGTATTTGAGCACAGAAATTTGAAGGGAGTAGGAATGAAGACCGTGAATTTTGCTACTTTGCACTGTCCACTTTGAGAGTGTCAGGCACCTG